TAATGCTATATAAGAATACTAAATATTTGGTTAGATCCCCAGACGAACTTCTTCGACTTAAAAGCAGCTGTCCTCCAGGGTGACACCCTTGCACCTTTTCTCTTTGTTATTATTATTGACTACGTATTGAGAACTTTCCTCAACAAACATCATCATCTCTGTTTTACTTTATCACCAAAATTCTGAAGACGATATACGGCAAAACAGTTGACAACGATTAATTATGCAGATGACCGAGGTATCACTGTAGACACCAAAACCAATACTATAGTACCCCTACATCAAATGTTAATAAAAACTTTAAATATTAACTCAGTACTGTCTAATATTGCCCCCGTTGAATCTAATATTGCCCCCGTTGAATCATTAACCATCTCTCAAGATAGATTGAACCAACGTAATTCTACTGGTGTCCTATATGAACTTATATAAATAAGTTTTATGCTCATGAATGTTAACATTGTATTTCGTAGAAATGCATCAACTTAGAGGAAACTATCGACCAGTAAAATTTGTTTGATGATAGATATAGCTGTGTAACATTGATATAGTTCTCTTAAAATTCTAGAATAGTGATTGTTATATTCCGTGGTAATAGGAATATGGAATGGACAAACACGGTGGATGAATAGTAACAGGTTTATTGTAGAAACCAGTAGAACAAGCAAGGAAGTAATAGTTATGCGCACGGTCGTCGCAAGTCAGTACATTTATGTGCGTGCTGCTATTGGAAGGCCGCTAGTTCTCGCAGATCCCAGCTCGACGCTATTTAGTAACTGCCCTACACAGTCACATGTGGTACAAAGCCGAGTTTAAAGTGGGGTTCCCGAGCCCGAAGGCTCGGCCAAAAAATCTCCGTAGACCCCGCATAAACGGGATCGGGTCTGTCTACCTCCGCGGACGAAACTCTGCCCTTCGGCATAGCCTCGTCCGAATTCCTCTCTGCTCGAAGGCAGAGAGTTCGATTAGCGCAACTGGGAAAGATCCCAGCGTGACTCTCTGTCCGCTGTCCGAACGGATACTTATAGCATGCTAGTTAACATTCGTGTCAGTCAGCTGTTGGCTCTCACTTAGAATCTTCCTGCCTATTTGTGGCAGCCAGCTATAGGCTCTCACTCTGGCCAGTAGAAAATGCCGCAAACTACATGAAAACTGCCGTAGAAGCATGAAAAAATCGATTATTTCCACTATCGATGGGAGTTGGGAAATGCAAAGTCGGTCTTGGCCTTGGAGCATGTGCATATAGATTTTGGTGCAAATCCGTCGGAAATTGCGGCCGTGCATTCGTTACACACACACACACACACACACACACACACACACACACACATCCTGCCTTTTATAGATAGAGATCTCCTTTCAGCACCTTGGGTAATCATAGATCTCTAGAGCTTCCTGTCATTTATTGTCCTAAGTAATTTTTGCCCTTTTACAATCCGCCTATCCCTATTCTGTCATCTATTCATTTAAAATTCCACAGTAAGTTATCGATCCCCACCTCTTCTCTTGCCTTCGATCAAATTGAGTTAAAAAAGGAAATATTTATTTCCGTTGATTTCTGATGTGTACTTCTTTCTTTCCGGGTCCCACCTACGGACCTAAGGTTAGAAATGGCATCATGACGTTTTCCACTGGACGTTTTTTTTTTTTTACATAGACAAAGCCCTTCGTAAGGTCTGGGCTGTACTCGTGAGAAAAATGTTTTGTATTTCTTTGAGGCAAGGGCTTCAAGGAATCCCTTCAATTAGTCTACTGGAATCTTTTCCAATCAAACTACAAAGGGGATTGTTAATGTTCGCATGTGCCACATTTTTGAAATTTCGATCTCAATGTCCTTGTATTTTGATAGCTTTTTTGAAGATCTTCAAATATATATGGCAGTCTGTAGGGACTGCCATATCAATAAAGAGACACCTTTTTGTGTGCGATCTTTAATAACAATGTCTGGGCGGTTAGCTTTGATCGTTCACTCTCTATATATTGTGCAGTCCCATAAAATTCTAACAGGTCCTATCTCCTTTTCCGGGTCTGTGTGGAGTTCATACCAGTTTCTTTCAGTTTCCTTCCCGTAGAAGTTGCAAATTTTCCAGTACAAATATTGGCTAACTCTGTCATGCCGTGTATTATATTCAGTGGGAGCCAATACCGTGCAACCTGATACAAGATGATCGATGGTTTCTGGGTAATTATCACAGAACCTGCATTTTTTAGCTAACACTCTATTATGTGTGCTTGATAATTTCGGGTTAACAAGCCCTGATCTTGTGCAGCAAGGATAAAACCTTCCGTTTCAGCTTTTAACCCTGCATACGCAGCCACTGATGGATACGGGGATTGTCTACATCAGCTTGTTTTGTACAGACAGAGTATTGGCCATGAAGCCATTGTTTCTGTATCTGGTTGGTTGCATTTGTTTTTGCTTTGTTTTTTATGTATTTTGCAGCTTCAACCGGTCTATTGTGTATTTCTGCATCCATTTGAAACTTCATTTTGAACTTGTTAACTTCTTTTATTATTAAATAAAGGCGCTTACTACTTTCATGTTCTTTGATACAAATCATCATCCAGTCTTCTGTGGTTTCCGGGTATCTTTGAAAGCCAATTGTTGTAGTTTTGCAGGACAGTTCTAGTTGAACTAATCCTCTGCCTCCTTCGGATCTGGGCACGATCAACATCAGCTTTGGGATAATGCATGCGGTATTTGCTTTCTTGTTTTGGCGTCCATTTGCTTAATGTCAGCTATGGTCCAATTAAGGATGTTAAAACTGTATTGTACCACAGGGACAGCCAAGGTGTTCATGGCTGATATTCTGTTTTTTGGGTTCAGCTCGGTATTTAGTACCAGACGCACACGCCTGTAGTCCTCCTTTCTTACCTTCCCCTTCATTTGAGTTGCTGTATATCATCTCCTTCGCTAATTCCTAGGTACTTATAGGCTTCATCTTGTTCTAGTTCCCTAATCTTTGTGACAAAGTCCAAATCTATTTCTACAATTCTCCCTTTCTTGAGTGTTACTTTTGCACAGTTATCTAATCCGAAGTCCATATCTATGTCGTCACTGAAACATTTTATAATATTGAGGAGACCCTAAAACTCATTGTCGTTTTTGGCAAAGTGTTTGAGATCATCCATGTAGAGTAGATGATTGAATATTTTTGTTTCTTTTGTAACCATAGCTACTGTTGTTTAGTTCATGCGTAAGGGGGATTAAGGAAAAAAAAACAGAAGGGGGTGACAGAGAGTCTCCTTGAAAGATTCCACGTCGGATATTCAAACGGTTGGAGGTGGCAGTGCTTCTGGTGTGATTTAGGTATAGTGTGGTGTTTCACATTGCCATGCTGTGCTTAAGGAAATTTATTTCCAAAGTCTTACAAGACTATCAACGGCTTTACGATAGGAAACTTTGTATATTTCAAAGTCTTAATTTTCCAAGATCATTTTGTTTAACGGTAGTTGATCTTTACGATAGAATCTCTCAATCCTTCGCTGGAAGAATGTTGTTTGCTACGAAAAAGAGTAAGATTTCAGGACAGACAATTATACGTGGTAAGATTATTCTAATTTTTCAGATTATCTGTTTCACTCGTTTTGGGCATGAAATATGTAATGCATTCATCAATCCATTCCGGGATTTCGTCAGGATTATTTACAAGCGTTGATAGAGATTTTGAAAATGATTTATGGATTGATGAGAGATGATAGAACCAGAAATTGGGCATTTTGTCATTTCCTGGGGATTTCCATTTTGATGATTTTGTTAGATCTTGCCTAACATCATTTGTGGTTATATTTTCCCACTCTTGCAGAGGTGTATCCAGCATTCGTTTTTTTTCTTCACGTTGGATCCATTCTGCACTTGGGCTGCTCCAAATATTCTCCCAAAATGTCTATATATTGTCAGGAGATGCATTTCCAATTACCCTGTAAAATTTCTTAACGTCCGTTTGGGATATTTTATTTTGGCGATAGAATCTGAACCGTTTTTCGTATCGTCTTGTTCTCTGTGCCTTTAACTGAAGTTTTTGCTTCAGCATTTCCTTGATTGATGTAATTTCAGTTAGGGATTTAATTTTATATTTCTGTTATTATTATTATTATTATTATTATTATTATTATTATCATCATCATCATCATCTTTGATTTCTGTTGCATACACATTTTCCACTAATCATTATTGAAAAAAAAACACACACACATCACAAATAGATAAAGCTCTTCGTAATGTGTGAGATTGATTTGTGAGTAGATTTATTTTATATTTCTTCAAGGCATGGGCTACCAGGAATCCCTTCAATTTGACTATCGGAACCGTTTCCAATCAATCCGAGGACTTCAACTACAACACGAATTATTGATGTCCTCATGTACGACATTTTTTTAGATTTCCACTTTAGGAGCATTTTTACCATTTCTTAGATGCTTCCTTACTGGAATAGTTTCACTAGGCAATCAATGCCGTTGATGTTTGGTTTGGTTGCTTCTACTAGGATTCTTTCAATTTCAATCTAACCTTCTCTCTCCGACGATCCTGTGCGTCCATATTTTGTTATTTTTTTGGTTACCGCTTTGTTTGTTTTTTTGTTGTTTTTTTTTTTTTGTTTTTTTTTTGTTTGTTTTTTTTTTTATGGAGGTGGCAGGCGGACACAGTATTAAATTTTTTTCGAGAAAATCCATACGGAAAGTTTTTATTTAATATTTATCATCCAATGTATTTTTAGAAAGAAAGAAAGAAAGAAAGAAAATACAGAATCAATGAATGAAGGATGGATGGAAGAAAAGAAAAATAAAATGAAGTAACACATAAAAAGGAAGGAAAGAAAGATGGAAGGAGTGAAAGAACGACGTAAATGCAGAATCATCGAATGAAGGATGGAAGAAAATAAAATAAAACAAGACATAAAATGGAAGCAAGAAGGAAGGGAAAAAATAAAAAAAGAAAGAAGGGAGGAAAGAAAGAAAGAAAGAAAGAAGAAAGAAGAGAGAAAGAACAACATAAATACGGTATCAATGAACGAAGAAAGAAAGAAAGAAAGAAAGAAAGAAAGAAAGAAAGAAAAAGCGACCTAAATACTGAATCAATAAATGAAAGATGGAAGGAAAGAAGAAAGGAAGAAAGCAAGAAAGAACAACGTAAATGCGGAATCAATGAATGAAGGATGAAAATAAAGAAAAAACAAAGAAGGAAGGAAGGAAGGAAGGAAGGAAGGAAGGAAGGAAGGAAGGAAGGAAGGAAGGAAGGAAAGGAACTACGTAAATACGCAATCAATCAATGAAGGATGGAAGAAAAAAAACAAGGCATAAAAAGAAAGAAAGAAAGAAAGAAAGAAGGAAAGAAAGAAAGAAAGAAAAAGAAAGATAGAAAGAAAAAAGGAAGGAAGGAGAGAAATAACGACGCAAATATGGAATTAATGAATGAAGATTGGAAGAAAAGAAAATTTGACAAGGCATAAAAAGAAAGAAACAAGGAAGGAAAGAAATAAAGAAAGACGTAAATACGAACACAATGAATGAAAGAAGGATGAAAAAAACGAGACATAAAAAGGAAGAACGAATGAAGGAAAGAACGACGCAAATATGGACTCAACGAATGAAGGCTGAAAGAAAATCAAGTAAAACACCAAGGCATAAAAAGGAAAGAAAGAAAGAAAGAAAGAAAGAAAGAAAGAAAGAAAGACGAACCTACGGAATCAATGATTGCAGGATAGAAGAAAAGAAAAGAAAACACCAAGGCATAAAAATGAAGGAAGGAAGGAAGGAAGGAAGGAAGGATCGATCGACGTAAGTACGGAATCAATCAACGAAGGATGGAAGAATAAAAAAACACCAGGGCATAAAAAGGAATGAAGGAAGGATGGAACGAAAGAAAGAAAGAAAGAAAGAAAGAAAGAAAGAAAGAATAAAAAAGGAAAAATCAATTTTTTTTAATTTCTTTTTTTTATTATTACAAATGTAACCAACTAAACACGAATAACTTTCACCGCTTGTGTTAGATTTTTTTAACTATGTCGGCTAGTCACTGCGTAATTATTATTATAATCTTTTCACTTCATCGTTTATCAATCTCAACTGGCCGACTCGACTCTTCAACATCGTTCAGCAAGAAATCCGTCGTCGAACAATTCACAAGCCGTTTTTGACTCATTCAAAAATACATAGTACCTTTTTCATAAATTATACAAATATTTTGCCTCTTTATCGCATTTTTACCTTCCTTAAAATTAAAATCTTAGTATATCTAAATGGTTGGTATTTTATTCCCGTCTACACAATTTGATTCAATAAACAAAAGTTCAGTCCATTTGACATTTAAAATAAAACTGACAGCTGTCACAACACAATCCAGAGAGAACTACTCGAATAAAGCTATTTAGAACTTAATGTTTCTAATGCCTGAAAGCAACAAACAGAAAACGAACGTTTGGAGTAAGCCAATAGAATTTTAAATCCAATGTAAAACATCTTATTTGAAATGAAGCGTTGTCACTCTTCTCTCCGCTGTTTGTTCCTTTGTTTTTTGTTTTTAGATTAAAATAATTCGCTCGAGAGCCTCTTCGTTCTTGTTCGGTTTTGTGGAAAGTTCTGAATTAATGTTTTCTTATCATTCAATGTATTAATCGTATTAAAGGAAATGGGAAAATAACGAAAGAGACAAAGATTGAAGAACAAAAGTAAGGAAACAAAAAAAAAAAAAAGAAAAAGGAGGAAAATGAGGAAGGAGTTAGGAAAACGAAAAGAAAGAATAAAAAGTAATTGAAAAATTAACAAAAACGACTTAAAAGAAAGACATAAGAAGAAAATGAAAAGGAAAGAAAGAATACAAAACAAAAAAAAAAAAAGAAGAGAAGAGAGATGGAAAGAAGGAAAGAAAAGAAAAAAAGATAGAGGATAAGAAATCAAGCAAGAAAGAAAGAAATGCTAAAGAAAAGTAAAAAAGCCACACATAAAAAGAAAGTAACACAGAAAAAAGAAAAGAAAGGGAATAGAAAATAAAAATTGATAAAAACAGGAAGAAAAAGTAAGAATGATTGAATGAACGACAGAAGAAGAAAAGAATGAATAAAATAAAGAAACAAAGTATAACAAAAAGGTAATGAAAAGACAAAAGCAAAGAAAGAAGAAAAGAAAGAAAGAAAGAAAGAAAGAGAAAAAATAGAAATAAGCAAAGAAAATAAGAGGAAATACAGAAAAGCTGTATGAAAAGCAGAAAAGAACGATATAAAAGACCAAAGAACAATGAAGGAGGGAAATCGTGAGAAAAGGTGAAAGGATAATAAGAAAGAAAGAAAGAAAGAAAGAAAGAAAGAAAGAGAGAAAAGAATGAAAGAAAGAAAAGAAAAAAGAAAGAAAGAAAGAAAAAAGAGAGAAAAGAAAGAGAGAGAGAAAAGAATGAAAGAAAGAAAGAAAAAGAAAGAAAGAAAGAAAAAAGAGAGAAAAGAAAGAGAGAGAGAAAAGAATGAAAGAAAGAAAGAAAAAGAAAGAAAAGAAAGAAAGAGAGAAAAGAAAGAAAGAAAAGAGAGAGAGAAAAGAATGAAAGAAAGAAAGAAAGAAAGAAAAAAGAAAGAAAAAGAGAGAGAAAGAAAAGAAAGAAAGAAAAAAAAGAAAAGAAAAAAAAGAAAAAGAAAGAAAGAGAGAAAGAATGAAAGAAAGAAAGAAAAAGAAAGAAAGAGAGAGAGAAAAGAATGAAAGAAAGAAAGAAAAAAGAAAGAACGAAAGAAAGAAAGAAAGAAAGAAAGAAAGAGAGAAAAGAAAGAAAGAAAGAAAGAAAGAAAAAGAAAGAAAGAAAGAAAGAAAGAAAGAGAGAAAAGAAAAAAGAAAGAAAGAAAGAAAGAAAAAAGAGAGAAAAGAAAGAGAGAGAAAAGAATGAATGAAAGAAAGAAAGAAAGAAAAGAGAGAGAAAAGAATTAAAGAAAGAAAGAAAGTAAGAGAAAAGAAAAAAAGAAAAAAGAGAGAAAAGAAAGAGAGAGAGAAAAGAATGAAAGAAAGAAAGAAAAAGAAAGAAAGAAAGAGAGAAAAGAAAGAAAGAAAGAAAGAAAAAAAAAGAAAGAAAGAAAGAAAGAGAAAAAAGAAAGAAAGGAAGAAAAGAAAAAGAGAGAAAAGAAAGAGAGAGAGAAAGAATGAAAGAAAGAAAAAGAAAGAAAGAGAGAGAGAAAAAGAAAGAAAGAAAGAAAAGAAAGTAAGAGAAAAAGAAAGAAAGAAAAAAGAGAGAAAAGAAAGAGAGAGAGAAAAGAATGAAAGAAAGAAAGAAAAAAGAAACAAAGAAAGAAAAAAAGAAAGAGAGAAAAGAAAGAAAGGAAGAAAGAAAGAAAGAAAGAAAGAAAGAAAGAAACGGATGAAAGAAAGAAAGAAACGGATTCCAGTTGTTGCGTACTTCTATTCTAGAGATGGAGGAAGAGAATCATTTGAAAGAAAAGAAAGAAAAAAAATTCTTGAAAAATTTTTTTTTTAAAGAAGGTGAGCAGAAAGAAACAAATAGAAAGAAAAAGAATTTTAAAAAAATCTATCATACACACAAAGAAAAGAAAGACACACACAACAAAGAATGCACGCGCGCGCGTGTGTGTGTTTGTCGAAGAAAAGGAACGTTTTTGCACGGAATAGACTCGGTTGGTTAGCATACGTCAGAGATGATTTAATATAAGAAAGGGGGAGGGGTGAGCCACTCAGTGAAAACGTATGATTATGTTATTGAATTAGAGACAAGCAGATGGTATCAGACCCCAGTTTGAAAAAGTGAGTTGCCTGGAAAGCTTAAGAGTGAAAAGGAAAACATGGATAAATACACGACATCTGTGCAACTGAACGAATATATATATATATATATATATATATATATATATATATATATATATATATATATGCACACAGATTTAGAGATGTATATGTGATACGCACGTTTAAAGAACGAAACAAATGCCTGACTGAAATTGTGTATGAAAGATTTGGGCTTATGCAGATATACTCATATAAAAAAGACATACCTAAAGAAAGAATAAAATCAGAAGAACAGACTGAAAGACACACACACACACACACACAAATATATATATATATATATATATATATATATATATATATAAGAAATGCATATTTAAAAAAAAGAACGAACAGTATGATATGTAATCCGGCGTTCTTATTGATATTTTTTTATTTTTTACAAAAAAATAGTGCTCAATGTAAATTTTTACAGGGCATTAATATTATAAAAAAACTGATTTAAAATTTTTTTTTTCGCCACACAGTAATAACCATATTTTAAAAAATGGAAAAAAAAAGCTCAAATTTAATTTTTGTAATTAAATTAAAAACATTAGTTCCATTTTAACCGCGCGCGAATTTTGAGTAACTTATTTTTTTAAATTTATTGAGTTTTTAAAGCCACAGAAAATCATAATTCACTGTTACCAAGGATTCAGAGATGATCCAATCATTCAGACAAGGGGTGGTAGCATGAAAAAATTATTATTAACTTTTGTTGCACAAGTTATAGTTACGTTCGCAAAAAAGGTTGCCTGGCCTGTTTAGGTAAGGTAGGGATGTATTTTTCATCAAATTTAACATCCGTTAAATGGATATCGTTTTGATTTATAAAAAAAATATATATATATATATATATATATATATATATATATTAAATATTGATTTAAATGCCTGACTGCAATTGTGTATATTTGGGCTTACGCAGATAACCATGTTTCAAAAAATAGAAACATGGTTAGAAGATAAAGGAAAAAACATATTTAAATCAATTAATTTATAATATTAACATATAAATTTACATTGATATATATATTATTATATAAATATAAAATATCTATAAGAAAACAGGATTATATATGATACTGTTCCGGTTTTATTGATATATATATATATATATATATATATATATATATATATTAGAAATATTTTAAAATATCTTCCAGAAATTTTTCCCATATATATCTCCCAGAAATGACTTTTTAATAAGACATTTGAAAACTTATGTATTACCATTTTTTTGGGAGGAGGATAGGGAGAGATTCAATCATTCACCCTTATATATAAAGTTGTGTATTTATTATTAGCTTTGTTCTATAATACATTTTCCATTGTAAATTGGGATGTAATTCCTATTGACATAGACATGTTTGTTTTTAAATATATATATATGTTTTAATTATTTGTTTATATATATATATTACTGGATTAATTGTTTTGCAAGTATGCCTATTAGCTAGAGTGGTTATGTCATAACCATTCCAGGCTACAGCTCGCACGCATTTAAGATTTTTCAGCGGAAACATGCAACTGGTATAATGGATGATGTTCCAATTCCAACTGACTTTATGATATAAACTTACACGCAAATACCTTTGAGAAATTTAGGAACCAACCTCGTCTCCCACCAGCTACGGGTTACTTAGTAAAACTTTTATCACTAAATCATGATCTCAGAAAATATTCTTACAATAAAAAAAATTCCTGGCTTTAAATAACCTGCAAATAGTGGGTAAGTCATAGAAAACGAATGAATCTGTGAAAAATTTACCCCAAGAATTTTTTCAAAATTATCTTATATCTAGCTTTACTCTACCCTTTCTCAAGCACAAATATACACATACATATATATATATATATATATATATATATATATATATATATATATATATATATATAATTGACTCTCCCGTCGGTTTCGACGTATGAGGATCTGCCAGCTTACTGATTCAGTTATGAAACTTTATGCGATAATCTTAAGTGGCATTTAAGACCCGCAAGTGATTTACAAAGGAGACCACATATAGGAGCAGGTTTAATTTAATTTATCAAAAGCTAAGCGTAACTTTTATATATATATATATATATATATATAAAGAGAGAGAGAGACAGATATAGATATGGGTATGATAAAAAATATACATATACGTATGCATACTTGCACGTACACATATATTTCTTTGTAAGGTTTTATAAAAACAGTGCTCAATATTAAATATGTCCTATTTCACACCCGAAGAATGCACGTTTGCAGAAAACTCCGAATAGTGCTATCAAACTTGCATATCATATATAATCGCCAATAACAAATCCGTTGGTATATAATCCAAGTGGATCCTAGTAATATAAAATATTAAAACTGATCCACAAAAGAAACTCAGTGTATTTATTAATACTGAGCAATATAATTAGACAGACGACCGATATCTTCGTCTGCCGACATAATCTAATCCCCACATCAGGTAATTTGGGATTTTATTATTTCTTAATTATATATATATATATATATATATATATATATATATAAACTTTCATTACGGATAGAATTTACAAAAGGAACGATCAATTAGCATATCTTCATACCCTGCCTGGTGACATATGACATAGCCACCGAAACCGTGAGATCACCCCAGGTCGACGGCTGATGAAGACAGGGTATCTCACGTGCTAACACACGTTGTATGTTAAAAAAAAATGTATCTATAAAAATAAAGTAGAAACAATTAATATATTAAAATAATTGTCGGAATTAGTCCATTTCATAAATATATGACGTCATTTGTTTACGTTAAGATACGCTTCGAGCAGATAGTAGAAAATTTGTGGTTTAAAAGTAATAACGACCCAACAAGATGTTTCTCTTCGTTAAATGGCATGGCGATCTATCTATCTATCTATCTCTTTATATATAGATAGATAGATAGATAGATAGATAGATAATATTAGTGGCAATAATATATATATATATATATATATATATATATATATATATATATATATATATATATAAATTCCCAAGAGGATAGAATCCAGGTAGAATTCATTGTCCAAGACAGACCAAGAATATATTATAAAAGGTTTCAAACGCTAATATTCCATGGTTTATAATTTGTTACATTGGAATCAAATCACGACCCAATTTATCAGACCTCCGTGATTACGGTTCCAATGTAATAAATTATAACTATGGAATATTAGTGTTTGTTTATTTATATATATATATATATATATATATATATATATATATATATATATATATATATATATATGGGGGGAGTGAATCTTATGTATGATGGAATCATATTTTTAAATAAATAATTATATATATATATATATATATATATATATATATATATATATATATATATATATATATATATATATATATATATATGTATGTATGTATAAATAATCTACAATGAATGAGACTACATTCTGTGATTATATTTTGCATCTCATCGTTAGTTTGCCTGAAAATGATCGTGCTGCCATCCTCATAAGGTCATGCATGGCGCCAAACTCGTTCGCAAGTATATAAACTTTCAACTGTATACAAACGCAGGCTAATACCTAGAAACCTGGCCTCTTCCAATAAGAAGTGTTAAAGCAAATAGGATATTTAGTATTTACTGCCCCCCCCCACACACACAGACGAAGTCGCATTTAACACAAGCACCGATCTTTTTCTGCAGTGCAAACCACGTTTACATATAGTTTACCACGTTAAAAAGGACGTATGACGTAACCCAGCTCCGTGGGGTCGTCCTTTCTTTTTATGTGCCATGTCCTTTCAGGGCGTAGGTGATCATGGCTCCTCACCTCCTTCTCTCCCTTGCAGCTCTCAGCAAGTTCCTTCCGAGTTCTTCTCCCCCCCCCACCCATACCACCTTCTGTCATCCACCTGATCAAGCTCGTCATGCATGTCACGTACTGTTTTCCCTTGTCTCGCTTTACCACTATTCGACCCTTCTTCCTCGTTGTGTGTGTTAGAAATTTCAGCTGCCTCTAGTGAGTAAATAAAAACGCATCCTATGAGATTCGCGAAGATCAGTTTCAGATCTTATCAGCGACCAGTTCTGAATTAAAAGAAATATATAGTTTTTAAATAACTTATCGTTGGGGAATGTGTTAACTTACCAATTATGGGTATCAATGGTGTATTAGTTTTCTATTGGTCTCACCAGAAAGTTCGTTCGTCTAATTAAATTTTCCTCTCAATAATATTTTGTCATTCAATTGACCAGATTCAGGCGCAGATTTGATCTTATCAGAGATTACTTCTGAAGTTAAAGGAGTAAATTATTACAGCCTCAGGTTCTCAGGTGAGGTAACACATATTAACAAGTGTATAATTCAAACTAACTATGGTGAACGATTTCAGTTACTTAACTCATAGGAGATATGCTACACGTGCCGGTAAAGGTGACGTCACCAACTCTTATAAATATATTTATCCACACAGAAAATAAAAAGAGGGTGAACATAAACACGAACTATCAAGAAAGAAATAATGGTAAAATAAAACATACACATAGAAAGATAGATAGATAGATGGATGGATGAACTGACTGAGAAAGAAGGAACGAACATATTTATATAAATAGATAAAGAACTGGTGTAGAGAGAGAAATAAAGAAAAGGCTTAGATAGATAAGTCAACTTCTATTTTTAGCACATTTTGCGGATAAGCCAATATCTATGGTAGAATAATTAATAGATAGCAGCTCGGAATGAGGAATCAGCAAAGCCGTGTTCGAATTCTAGTCGAGTTCATTGTATTCATTTACGTGATAATACCCTGGAGAAAGGTATTAATCCTTCTTTCCCATCCCAGCTATGTATATATTATAATTGATCTCTTTAGCTTAAACTTTTATTTTGATTTTATTTCAAGTCTTTGGATTGTTATATCTTAAACTCCTCTCTCACGTGCCAAACGCCTTATGTATTGTGTGGGATCTTTTCTAATTGATCCCTAAGTTGAAATGATGAGCCATCTTCCTGTTGTGACCTACTGATCCCGTTTTCCTTTCTAATGTTCCCTTGTTTTTAAACATTTGATTTTATTTCAAGTCTATGGACTGTGATATCTTAAACTCCTCTCTAACGTACCAAAAGTCTTATGAATTGTCTTGGATCTTTTCTAATTGATCTCTTTAGCTCTAAGTTGAAATGATGATCACTCTTCAAGGTGTGACCTCTTGATCCAATTTTCATTTCTACTGTTCCTTTTTTTAAACTTATTTACCGTTGAATGACCTTTGAAAATGGAAGCCAGAGTATGGATGTTGGTACCATTACTGAAGACCTGAATGAGCTTTTTCGTCTCACCATTGCTCAGTTGTTAAGACATAGTGGGGCTGACACAAAACTTTAATTTAAATTCTAACCTGTTTTCTTTCTAGATGAATAACTCAAAGGGTTTGTCAATGATTCTTACGACAAATGTTGTCATGATGGTTAACAGACTTATCTAAAATCCTGGTAAAAGGAACTCGATTGGTTTCATGGCTTTATGTATTAAACATTTTGTAGATAATTATGCTGATACACGATAAGGACAATTTTGCTGTTATACCATATATATATTTTGTTGTTATACCATATATATATATATATATATATATATATATATATATATATTTAAGATAGATAAATTTTATATCCTGACAACGAACATTTCTATATCTAACTCAACCTTACTATATAGATAGATAGATAGATAGATAGATAGATAGATATAGTAAGGTTGAGTTAGATATAGAAATGTTCGTAGTCAGGATTTAATAAAATTGATCTTATCATCTAAAAATGGAATGGTTTGTATGTGAATGCATCGAAGTTGACTAGATTTTGAACTTGGTTTTTCGATTTCTCAGTCCCTCGCTACAGTCTATTACACCACCCTCACATCCCCCGTGAATGTGAAAGAAAGAAAGAAAAAAAAAAAAAGAAAAACACTGAAGACGAAAGAGGAAAAATTCTAAGTCCAAATGAGAGCGGAGAATGACAACAATAAACTGAAATTTGTAGAAAAAGAAATAGACAGCGACTTCAAAAAAACATCAGAAAAATAATCAAGACCTTCAACTGAAAAAGACAGTAATCGTTTTGGGTGTCATCTAATGTTTTTTTTTGGGGGAGGGGAAGTCTAAGGAGATAATTGGCCCAATTCCAATGCGACAGAAAAAGATCTTTTCCTGAAGGTAAAAATCAGATGTATCTTTTTTTTTATATATATCTAATATTAAAAAGTAATCGTAACTTTTTTTTTTTCAAGCAGACAGAAAGGAAAGTTTGGCAAAAATTGCTATCTTTTTGAAGTTGCTGCTCTTAACTGAATTAAACGCAAAAAGTACAAGGACCTCTATAAATTGTCGGTCAAAGATGACAAAAAATCATATAACAAATGGAAAAGACATTTTGAAAATAGGGAATAGTATACTATTTTTGCGTGTGTATATACGTGTGGAAGGGAGAAAGTGACAGCGAGTAAGAGAGAGAGAGAGAGAATGTTTTGTGGGCTTGTGTGTATGTGTCCTCCCAATCTTAGATTTCTTTCCTTCTTCTACTTCTTGTTCTTGTTCTTGTTTTTGTTCTTCTTCTTCTTCTTCTTCTTATTATTATTATTATTATTATTATTATTATTATTATTTTATTTTCTTTGATTTCTGGCGTTTACTCATTTCTTTCCGGGTCCCGCCAAGGGATCTAAGGTTAGAAATGGTATCATGACACTTTCCACTTACAAAAAAAAAAAAATCACATAGATAAAGCCCTTCGTAAAGTGTGGGCTCTACTTGTCAGTTATTATTATTATTATTATTATTATAATTTCCTTTGATTTCTGTTACTTTCTCACTTCCGTCCGGGTCCCGATCAGAGACCTAAGGTCAGAAATGGCAACATGACATTTTATGCTGAACATTTTTGTAAAAGAAAATAAAAATAAAACAGAAATCACACAAATTTTACATAGATAAGTTCCATTGTAATATGTGAGCTGTACATGTGAGAAAGTTTTTGTATTTCTTTTAGGCAAGGATCCCTACAATGATTATACCGGAATCTTTTCCAATCAAGCCAAGGGTCTAAACCACGGCTGGAACTATTGATGTCTTCATGTGCCACATTTTTTATATTTCTACTTCAAGATCCATGTATTTTGATAGTTTTTTGAAGTTCTTCAAAAGAACCATTACAGTCTACAGGAAGTGCCATGTCAATAAGAATGCGCGTACACTGTTTTGGAGATATTTGATTGTTCTGTCTGTATGTATTGTAAAGTCCCATAAAATTGTTACTATGTCCGTAACCAGGACGAAGTGATGTTCATACCAGTTTGCAGTTTCCTTCGTGTAAAAGTTTCAGATTTTCCAGTCAGGTATTGGCCCAACTTACCATCCTGTATTTTATATTCGGTGGATGCTAATACCTTGCAACCTGATACAAGATGGTCAGTTCTTTCTTGTTGTTGATCACAGAATCTGTATTTCGGTTGTCACATTTTTTCAATATGTTTGTCTGGTAATTTCTAGTTAGCAACCATTAGTCTTCTGCAGCAAGAATAAAACCTTTCGTTTCAGCTTTTAATCCTGCACCTTGTAACAAGTGATGGCATCTTCGGATTCTAGTGTCGTACTTTCCGTCTTCTGTTAAAAACAATCCCCGGATGTTTAAATTGTTGTACTTGTTTGAGTTTGCTATCTCCGATTTGTAAATTGCATTTTGGACTCAATCCTTCTGGATTGAGAAATTCCATATCTTACGACTGCTATTTTCTACGACTTCTTTATATATTATGTAGTGAATGCATGAGAGTTTGTCGTTGTTTTAACCAATTGTTCAGTCAAGACAAGGCTTAAGTCTAACTCATAAGGTTACCGAAGGATTGTGCTTATTATTATTTTCATTTTTTTCTTTGTAATTTAGACGACAATTTATCCATCGCACACTGTACACACACACACACACACACACATACATATATATATATATATATATATATATATATATATATATAATCCACTTTCCTTTTTATTTCATTTTTGTCCTATTCTCCCAGTCCTTTTTTTTCTTTTTCTATCACATTTAGTACGGGTGCGTTAATTGACTTCCCTCTTTTATTCCTGTTTATTCCTTCCCGCCCAATCCATCCCAACGACCTCATCAGTTCTCCCAAATCTTTCCATGTCTCTTACCCATCGCCCCATTTATCCTGTTCGTGCCATTTCTTTCAACTCCAGAATCGCACTAGACATTGGCTATTCGCCTCCTCTTCTAGTCAACCGACAACTGCTGTCGTCGCCTTCAAAAACCCAAGACTCTTTGATCGAACCAAGAACATTTCAACACCTCTTCGTATAAATATTATCTATTTGAATATATTTTTCCGATTTACAGCAGCTTTTATCTCAGTATGACACAATCAGTTGAAATTCAAATATATATATATATATATATATATATATATATATATATAAAGACATTATATATTTACAGACAAACAAATACTCACTTTGCCGTGAGTACTTGTTTGTCAGTATGTAATATCTTTATAATAAATAAGTTTTGCTGTACTTTTGGTATTGAACCCTCTTTTAAATTTGAGGCTATGAACGTTTGAAATTATATTCTTTTCGTTTTCGTTACATTTAAAATATATATATATATATATATATATATATATATATATATATATATATATATATATATATATATATATATATATATATATATATATATATATATAGATAGATAGATAGATAGATAGATATATATAGAAAGAGCGACAGAGACAGAGACAAAGAAGAAAAATAAATTTGAAAATATGTCATATTCATGGGTAAAAGTGCTCACTATCAAAGATAAAGGGTATCTAGATATAAAAAAATATAAAATTGCAGATGAGGCCGAGACCAAGCAGGTGGCAGTCTGTTTCCATCTTCCTCGCAATCTTCAGGCTATGTGTGTTTTCTTTTGTCTGTCTTGAGCCAAAATACAATATACATGGCATGAAGATTACGTTCAAGCATGAAACAGACTGTCGTTCCATGGTGTTGACCTCAGTGTCAATTATCACACACACACACACATATATATATATATATATATATATATATATATAGAGAGAGAGAGAGAGAGAGAGAGAGAGAGAGAGGTGGAGGGAGATATATATATATAAAGACATGAATAGTTTAGTTTTTCTGCTTATTTTCAACAGGGTCTTTCACATATATATATATATATATATATATATATATATATATATATATGTATGTAAACTGGCCACTTGTATTCGATGATACCCCTCTACTAGGCGGCTAGACAATCCTTTATTGTATACGCTCGCTCAGGCACATTTTTTTGCTTGATCAGCACCCACGGAGCCCACATATGGTTTGTACTGCAACTATGCTGAACTTAAATATAAATAAGATAAGAACTTAAATATAAATCTTATTGTTCTTTCTTTTATATATATATATATATATATATATATATATATTACTTAATCGTTATTTATATGGATACCCGTATTTGGCTTGAGGCAACATTTATTTATTAAAGAGTATATTTATTTTCATTTAGCGACCTTTTTCGAGAAATCTTGTTAAAGAAAAATATGCGCTTTCTGTAGGATTCGAACCTGCATGACTCTTGACAGAAGACTCGATGAGATTTAACCTTCTCCGTTACGTCGTACGTAGATGATACGGCCCCATTCAAATTTGTTTGATCATCGACCGTCAGTATATATATAGTTAATACAATTTTAGTAACCTTCACATATATATATATATATATATATATATATATATATATCGATAGATATAGAGATATCTATTCGAAAGAAAGAAAGAAAGAAAAGAAAAAGAAAGAAAAGAAAGATAGATAGATAGATAGATAGATAGAGATATTATAGATAGATAGATAGATAGATGGATAGTTATATGTAGAGAAACTTGATCCACAAAAAATTAGAACAACAAAAATGTGAAAAATGTGTATAAAACATATAAAGTAAACCTTGTCTGTCATATTTAACGAAGCATGCATAGAAAATGGCTTGCTGCCAAATATTCAATATATATTTATTACTTGAAACGTAATTACAGAGAATACCATTTGCATCTATTAAAAAAATATGTATTACGCCTGTCAGTTTGTTTCATTCCCGAAATGTAAAAAATAACAATTGTTAAAAAGATTTAATGAATTTATTTTTGTTCCGAGATTTTAATCTCTTCAAACGTTATTATATTGGAAGCATCCACTAGAATAACGTTTCAAGTAATAAAAATGCCGGCTTACACATACATACACACACACACATATGTATATATATATTTAATTCCATTATTTTTAATCTTTTTACATGTAGATGAGGTTATTATGTAAAAACTTATAATAAAATGTATAAAAAAGAAAAAGCCAACACTCAGTAATATTAACTACGAACACTGCCAAAGATAAAACATCCTTATAACACTAGAAATATACACACACCCTATACACTCAATTAAAAACAAAAATAAAATTATCCTTGATAACAGCTGAAAGTATAGCCGAAAGCGCTCGGTCTTACAGAACATTTGAACAGTTTCTACACATTTTGTGTCCAAAATACAAAACACGTGTTTGAATACAAGAAAAATTAAATAAAAGCTTAATCGCAGTACCTTCTCTGTTGCCTTTAATGAAACAAGTATAAATTAAGTATTGCTGTCTATATACACAATATATATATATATATATATATATATATATATATATATATATATATATATATATATATAAAAAGGACCACAAACCAGATTTTGAGACTAATCCCACTACAAGGATAATAAATCCTACAAGACCGGATATCGGAAAAATTAGTAAAATGATCCTTGAAAGGGTAGATAAACAAATTAAAGAAAAAATAAGCCTGAAACTTTGGATTAATACCAAGGAAGTGATAAACTGGTTTACTTACATAAATGAAAAAACAATTGTACACTAATGCAGTTTGATATTGATAATTATTACCAATCAATATCTAAAGAACTATTTATCAATGCGTTGGACTTTGCCACCCACTATACGGATATTACAGATGAAGAAATATACATTATTCTATATGCGAAAAAATAGGTACTGATACATAAAGGTGAGCAATGGATTAAGAATTCTTATGACCACTTTGACATCACAATGGGATCACTAGACTCAGCTGAGTCTTCTGATCTCATAGGTCTTTTTATATTATACAACCTTACAGCACACTGTGATATTAATATAACTGACATTGATTTGTACAGAGACGATGGACTTATGGTTATTAGAAACTCAACTAACTTCAAAAAAGATAAAATTAGAAGGGTATTATGTAAAGAATTTAAAAGCATTGGCTTAAAAATTACGGTTAGCTCTAAATTAAAAAAAAGTGAACTTCCTTGATATAACATTAGATTTAAATAAAAATACATACACACCTTATAAAAAACCCAACACCAATCCTTTATATATACATCCTAAATCAAATCACCTCCGTCTATAATTAAACATATGCCGTTATCTATCAGTAAAAGAATTAGTACAAATTCAGCAAATGACAAGATTTTCGATGAACATATCAATTCCTATAATAAAGCTCTAAAAGAGAGTGGCTACAAAACCCAAAAATAAATATATAAAAAAATGAAAATGGAAAGCATAGAAAACAGATTTAGAAAAATAATTTTGGTATACGCCTCCATACAACTAAATGGTAAAGAACAAATTAGGACAAAAATTCCTCGCATTAATAGTCAAGCATTTTCCTAGTGAAAGTAAACTAAGTACTATTTTCAATAAAAACACTAAACTTGAGTTACAGCTGTATTGAAAACTTTTTAAAAAATTATTAAGAAACATAATGCTAATATCCTAAATAAACACTTATACCAAAATCAAAAAAATTTAGACAATGGAAAAATAAAAACTGATGAAAATAAACAAAAATTATATAACTGTAGAAATCCGCATAATTGCCCTCTACAAAATAAATGTCGCACAGAATCATTAGTATACCAATGCAATATCTCTTCGATTTAAAATCCTGAAAACATAAAATATATATAGGTTGCACTAGCCATGAGTTCAAAAAAAGATTCAACCAACATCAAAGTTCATTTAGGATAAATAAATATAAAAATCAAACATCTCTCTCGAAGTACTTCTGGCACTTAAATGAATCCAATAAAACACCTACAGAAAAATGAAATTATGATGAAAAGCTAGAAGACGTAGGCCATTGAATGACCCATGTCCTTTGTACATACATGAGAAACTATATATTCTAAGTTTATAAAAAAAAATAAAGTTTACTAAATCAGAGAAATGAATTAGCTATTTTTTCCGTAATTGTCATAAATTTTACTTAAATAATATTTAAATATAAAATTTTAAAAATCGTAATATACATACTTATACTTGATATGGAAAAATAATTTTACCTACTGTAAGTAATTTTAATACATTTAACTTCTTTTAAAAAGAAATATAGTCTATTAAAACTAACAGTGAAAATATTTTAAAGTTGTATTTAAAATTGTAGTTAAATAAAACGAATTCTAACCTAAACATCTTTTAAAATTGTAATTGAATAAAACCCTCCCTCTAAGTACTACAAGCACTTAAAAGAATCCAATAAAACACCTACAGTAAAATGAAATTAATATGAAAAGCTAGATGATGTAAGTCATTCAATGACCTATGTCCTTTGTACTTACATGAGAAACAATATATTACTTGGTTTATATAAAAAATAAAAGTTTACTAAATCAGTGAAATTAATTAGCTATTTTTGTCGTCATTGTCATAAATTTTACTAAAATAATATTTAAGTATAATTTTTAAAAAAAAATGTTACCTAATAATATACATACTTATACTTGATGTGAAAATAATTCTACATACTGTTGGGATTCTAATACATTTGCTTGTTCTTAAAAGAAATATAGTATATTAAAAATTAAAAGTGAAAATATTTTTCAAATCGTACTTAAATAAAACGTATTCTAACCTAAACACCCACCAAAAATCTTTAAATATACAAATAGAAAAAAAATGCTGTAAGAATTGTTGCCGTTAACAATAAATGTTTTAAATAAATCCAGACGACATGCATTTAACGGATGTCAGATTTCATTGAAAAATACATCCCTACCCCCTACCAAAACGTAACTAATAACTGATACATCAAAATACGGACCTATTGAACACGCAAACACCCCTTGTCTGGTTGAAGTGGATTTCTCTGTATCCTTGCAAACGTGAATTATGATTTTTGCTGTGTCAAACCCAGTAATTTTAAAAGTTACTCCAAGATTCGCTTGAGGATGAAATGGAACTAATGTCTTTAATTTAATTACAAAATTAAATTCGGAGCTTTCAGCTTCCATTTTGAAACATGGTTAGAACTGTGTAGGACAAAAACATATTTTAAATCAATTAATATATATATATATATATATATATATATATATATATATATATATATATATGTAAGACCGGGTATTTGGGAAAACATCATTAATAACCCATAATAGTTAATGTCACCCTTGGTGCTACAAATATAACTTTTTTAATTTCTCTGGCAGACATATCGAAAATATTTACATAACTGCTTCCAATCTTGCATCTGAAATGAAAATGAACCACAAGCTCATTTAATTTGATTTGATTTGTAAGTTTAAAGGCATCAACTCCTTATGTGTCATTCAATACAAAAATTTAATTTTCTTGGGAGCGTTGAAGTAATAAAATATGATATATGTCATTCTGCATTCACAGTTGAATACATGGATACTTATCTTTTGTGCATATCCATTTTTGTCTGAGTATAATTACTAGAGGTAGTGATATGTATTTTTTATGCTGTAGTTATGTTGAAGATATATTTTGGAATACAGTTTGAAATTGTAGGATATTATATGGATTTATATCATGAAAGACTTCTTTTAAGTTGACTGACTTAGTGTTGTTAATTTTACTATAAATATGTATTATTGGTAATTTTTATATAAAAAATGTATTGCTGGTATTTTAATACTTTCATGGTGTTCTGTTTTTGTTTGGGGTTCACTATTTGCCCATAAATAGGACCCTAACAAGGGCTATCATGCCTGGTCAACAACAGCAGTTAAGAGGTCGTTCCACGCTCCTAAAAACTTCCAATCTCTCAACCAGAGATCTTGCTGCCGGATGTAGTTTATCGTCAGTCCCAGGACTAATTTTGTGCTCGTGGCATTAGCCGTTAATACCGGAGGCACATAGACATCCAACTTCTTTAAACTGGTCTGCTGTGCAAAAGGATATCAGGTGGCTGCGCACAGACCCCACAAATATTCACCAAGTTTTCATACTCTGGGAGGATTTTAGACGTCGTGGACAACAAAGATCATGTCATGCCAACCCACTTCTTTTCGTCTAAGATGGAGGTGGTTGGAACGGTGGATCAAAATGCATCCGTTTTCCAGGCGAACACTTCTCCTTTCCACAATAGCCACCTCATCCAGGAAAGTCACACTAAGTCTATGGCCTAATAGCTGTCTTGATTCGAACAATTTTGGCATCTGCGTGGAAACTAACTAGCGATCCATCAATATGAAGATAACGTTGAGGGGCGATTTCACGTGATCGCCTACAAGATTGAAAAATCACATCATGCGGGCATCGATTCGCATCCGAAGCAGAATAGGGGTCATCTTCGGAACTCCCATTTTTTCACTACCTGATATATGCGAAAAGAGGTACAGTATAAAATAGAGAGAGAAAAAAAAACGTGCGTGTACATGTGTTACTCTCATGTTTCCCCCCCTCTCTCTCTCTCTCTCTCTCTCTCTCTTGCTCTATATATATTTGTATCAATCTTACTGAAATGAGAATATTGTTAGAAATTTACGAGTAATTTAATATACATACATAGAAAAATAAATAGGAAGAAATATATATATATGTGTGTATATATATATATATATATATATATATATATATATATTTTAAGCATTTCACCCCAAGCAAGGCGGGAAGCCACTAGGACGCAAGGGGTTACAGAAAATTTAGAGCTAGATCAGATAGGAGTGATAGAAGAAAGGATGACGGTAGTGGATAGATCAAGGCAACTGGAGATGTCGATTGACATTACACTTGAATAGCTGGAGATTATAGCTCACAGGGAAACAGGAATAGAGAAGGGAGTTCCACAGGCGAGAGGTGCGAGACATGAAGCTATTAGAGTAGAAGAGACATTAGGAGTTTCGACAGTGAAGGGGTGAGAGCGGGATGCCAGCCTCGTAAGGCGCTGGAACTCATGACGTCTGGGAACCAGCGAATGCAGCTCTTTGGAACAATTTCCATGAAAGTATTTCTAGAACAGACAGAGGGAGGCGACGGCGCGTCTGTGAGAGACTGTAGACGAGACGCCAGGGCATTGCATATCCGCTTCTGGAGCCTATCAAGAACCCCGAGGCAAACAGAAGGGGCGCCAGACCATATATGGCAGCAATACTCCATGCAAGGGCGAATTGTTGATTTGTAGATCTGGAGGATCGACTCCGGGGAGAAAAACTTCCTAGCGCGGCTCAGGGAGCCAATTTCCTTGCGGTGGAGGAAGCAATTGACTCAATGTATTTATTCCATCTCAGGTCAGCAGTCAACGTGAGACCGAGAAGCCGCAGAGAGTTGCTCTCGAGAAGTTGAGCGTCAGACATTCTAATGGAGGGAAGGGAAGGATCTATGAGAGAGAGAGAGAGCAGGAAATATTACAAGCGTGATATGAACAGAGAATACAATTATGCAGGATATGTAGATATGAAAAGATAGGTTAGGATAATCTGGGATAGATAGATAGATAGATAGATAGATAGATAGATATGAACAGCCTGCGAGAGATAGTGAAGTAGATATTCATGAAGAAAAGGTGATAGAGATAGGTATGAGCATAATAAGATAGATAGATGTGAACCATAAAAGTTAGATAGATAGATAGATAGATAGATAGTAATGAAAAATTGAGATAGATATTAAATAACAAATTTACATAGATAGAGATGTGTAATATTGATATGAACAATAGATAGATAGATATGACTAAAAAAAAATCGATTCTTTTTGCCCTTTGAAATCAACTTACATTCCGTTGTCATTTATGTCTGAATGAATTGTCTCCAAATATGCCTTAGAATCGTCAAAACTTTTACCTTTCTCCAGTCTTTATGCATTGGTATCGGTCGATTGGCTCACATGCTTTTGACACCATCTAATCTTCCGCAATTGATTTCTAATCCTTTTACTCATTTGCTTAAGGGCTCAGTTTTCCATCCTGCTCCTTATGTCTTTCAATTTTTAACGAAAAAAATGGAGTTAGATTAGGCACTCTTTGATATTTTTTCTTCGTAGTCCCACCTCTGTTTTAGCCTGCTTCAAATCTTCTACTTTATTCACGTCAACTTAGCTACACGATAGCATAACTCTCCCATTAGGTTCGTTGGTTGTATTGTTTAGCGGCATATTAATCTCTATGTGTTATTTAGTGCAGAAATCTAAATATTTTGAACACATTCTTTCCAATACAGATTAAATATATATTTGGCCATTTTTCTATAAAATGTATTGTTGTTCAATCTACTATAAATATGTATTTTTATACTTTTATAACGTTGTGTTTTTGTTTAGGGATTTCACTATTTTTCCATTGCTGGAACCCTAACAGGTACTACTATCCCAGGTGAGAGTGGAACAACAGGAATTAAGAGGTGATTCCACGCTGTTCAAAACGTTCAATCTTCTGCTCAGAGATCTTTCTCCCGGGTGTTATTTATCGTGATCCCCAGGACTATCTGCTGTTAGCTTGAGTTGTAAATAATTTCCGTTTTCGTTTAACAATAGAAAGAATGCAATATAATTTTTTTTCACCATTATTTGCAATGCCTTTTCGCCACTCACCAGGAAGCTCTGCGAGATCTGATTAAGATTCCGGAGGTTTTGATGTGGAGAAATTTTCAACGAATTCTTGAATCTGGTTTGCATCGGGGGACGTTTTCTTCATTGAAGCTTTTTGCATCGATTGAAGGTAACAATTGGTTGGTGAAAAGGTCAAGTGAATATAGCTGATGTGGGAGAACAGATCAACCGATTTCCAAAGCGTTTTCCTTGAGGTATGCTACATAGTGTTGTCTTGGAGGATGACAACTTTTTTTCATCCACTGTGTATACTGCCATTTCCGTGCAAAGACAGAGCGATCCAAATTTATTCTTAATTTTAGTGTATCTATCTACATCACTGATATGAGGTATTATGATTACTTATCTTATATTTATCTTATTCGGACTGTTATCGTCATCTTCATTGCCATATTCACAACGCTTCGGCCTTTGTACGCTTCGGCCTTCTTCAGGTAATTAGAATTTTGAATTGAACCCTTTATTTCGCCCACCGGGGTAGATTGTTCTAGTTCCAAGTGTCATGCCTCTTCCGGGAGTCTCAGTTATTTCCCTTTTAATTCAGCTCTCCAAATTTGGTTCACTGCTGCTAGGGCCTGATATTGAACTCACAACTCTTTGGGTATAGTCACTGGATCTGACCAACGTCTTTATCCACACATATATGATCACATATGAAGAGAAGATGGGGATCACTGCCCACTGCGGGATGTGGTTGAAATAATAGACACTCGAAAATACGAAAACTTAAGGAATCAGCACATATACTAGGCCCCCAAAATCTCCTGAGCCGACCAAGCATAGAAATGAATACAATATAAGAACTGGTAATAAGGAGTGCTGAAATAATCAATGAATAGCAACAAAAATTGCAATATAAGCTCTGGTAAAAAAATCAATAATAACAGAAAAATTGTAATATGAGCACTGGTAAAAAATGATTGTTGAGACATTAGATTTATAATTCCCAAAAATCCATACCAAGATCCATACTTTATCCACTGGGATACGTCTCCTCAAGGAGACATGTCCCAGTGGATAAAGACGTTGGTTAGATCCAGTGACTAGACCGAAAAAATGTGTCTTGAACACCAGGACATAGCAGTGGTGAGCTTGAAGTGTTGAATTAAAAGGGAAATAAATGAGACATCCGGAAGAGGCATGGCACGTCGAACTAGAACAATCTACCCAGATGGACGAAATAAAATCTTCGGTTCGAAATTCCTGTCACCTGAAGAAGGTCTGAGTGTACAACGGCAGAAACGTTGTGTATATGGCAATGAAGATGACAGTCTGAAATGAGATAAATAATGTATGTAATTGCAACGTATTTACGATGAAGCGTTTGCCATTATAACTGGTTCACAACACGGATTTTTTTTATTACTTAATAAATTATCTTTAACAAAGTGCGTATCATTTTTTTATGTTTGCTCGACTGACGTACAGATTACTCTTGTTTGTAATTTAGACTCATTTCTTAATTTATTTTATGATGTCGATGTTAACCCATATCCTCTTGGCGTCTGTTTAAGATGAGCACCTTCTTTCTTTCTATGTATTGAGAATATTTGGGTTACAAATTAAAAATATATATATATTTCTTCATTTCAGATGAAAAGATGAAAATTTTCCAGCACATTTCACTGAAAATTTCACTTTCCAAAATTATATTTTATAGTTGTTATTAAAGTTAGATAATCTGGGTTTTAAATAAGAAAATGAACAGGGGGGAAATACAATGTCCCAGAATAAGCAATCTATTTCAGTGAAATGGGATTATTTTGTTTTTAAATCTCACTTATATTTCTGTTCATCATGTTCAATATGTGTTAGAAATGTATAAATTTCAAATTTTGTTTATAACTATATTTTTTTCTAATTTTATTTTCATTCCCTTTCATAATCCTATTAATAATGAATACTCAAGAATGCATCTTTGTTGAATGGGGTTTCATAAAAAAAAACGTTTATCGTCAAAGAGTCTAAAGAAAGCATTCAGTACGTAGTACAAGAGATAACTCCTAAAATTCTTCAAAATTGGTTTTCAATGCTAAGAATAGTCTTGAAATTTGCAGGAATACCTGTTGAATAATTTCAATAAACTTTTGACATAAGATTTATAAATCTATTTATTTTGTATCATAATTAAGTAACAAACATAAATCTGTGCCAGTATTTTTTTATTTTTTACTCGAATTCATTGAAATAAAGTTAATTCTAAGACATATTGCATAATTCTAAGACATCTTGCATAATGCTACATTTCAAAACAACGCCGTTAATGTATAAGGAAGTCAATATTAGTTATTTGAAATTTTGGGTCAGGAATGGATTCTTAGATTTTCGGACATATCATCCCATTGGCTATTTAATGCTGATGTTTTAATTACATATCTTGCATTTATAGGTAAATAAATATTAGTAGGTTTTGTACATTATTTACATTATTCGGACTACTGTCGCCATATTTATCACAACGTTTTGGCCGTTGTACGCTCCGGCCTTCTTCAGGTGGTTGGAATTTCGAACTGAACCCTTTATTTTGTCGTGATAAATTTGGCGACAACGATGAGGATATTAGTCCGAATAATGTAAATAATGTACATAATACCTCATCTCAGAAATATAGACAGACTCTAGTAGGTTTTGGCTGATTCATTCATTCTTTTTATTATGTATTTTTTTCATTTATTTCTTTGTTTTATTTTTTTCAGAGCTTACCAACTATTTGCAAGTATTTTTTTATATCAAAATATTTTTAGGTTATATTAATTTTTTTTTTAGATATTTTTAAAATGATTTACTGATGCAACTCGTACTAATTAACCCATAGCTTGGAGGTCGGTTCGTACATTCCTCATGGGTAAGTGAATATAACGAACAAGACTGGAATTGGAACGCTGCACTCTAATTTCCAACTTGGAGCCTTTATCCATTACAACACCCGCGCATCCAAGTATACAGCACCTGGTACTCCCAAGCGGTCACCCATCTAGATACTGAGCAGGGTCGGCGTTGCTTAACGACTATCCCGCAAAATTCTTACAGTATAAAATAAGTTTCTGGTTTTAAATATGCTGCAAAAGGTTAAGCCGTAATAAAAAAAAAAAATGAATCGACTTAGATTACCACCCAAGGATAGAAAGCCTTATCTATTTAGCTATTTAAGTATATATTAATAAAGAAGAGAAGACGGTATACCAATGTATTAGGGCGAAAGTTAATGCATGAAACTAATGAGGAATTTGAACCCGACTCGCCGACTCCTTTATTCCGTTATACTCGGTGGAGTAATGTATAGCGGCTTGGATTGAGGAATTGGAGAGCTGAATTCAAATTCCATTAAAATTATTACGTACTAATACCCTTGGGAAAGGTATGAATCCTCTTGTTCACCCCCATCTATGGGTAAATAGTAGAACACTGGGTTCTATAGCCTTGAATGGCAACTGGTCTACCACAGAAAGAAATGTCAACCTACTGCGGGAAAAAAAATCTCCCTCGTCAGCCATGTATCGAAAGATATAGGATCGCCTAAGCGTGTATCACAATTTGCACATAACTGACTGAATATGTTAAAATGAATTTACAACTATGTGATCGTTCACTATGTATCAGACTCACTCCAGAAGTAATGTGTTCTGAGAAGATTTTCTTAAGCATTGCATGATGGCGTGGTATTCTTGGCTGGTTATTATTTACTTCAATGCTTGCAGACATTTTCTATTTTCCTTTAAAAAATATATATATGTTTGTTGACCAATACGTTAACAACTTAAAAAGGAAGCAAAATGGCGGGTTATCTTTCCAGCCTCAAAACCTCGACAATTAAATATTTAAAGATCATAATATCGTGTAATATATTTCTTACGCTTTGTTAATCGTTTGATTGGACAACTTTAGGCTTGTTTTTTCTTTTCTTTTTTTTTAAGTTATGTTCAGCCAGGACAAAGATCGAGAGGCACTCAAGATAGAGGGCAACTGAATGAGGTGCCTGATAAGAATATAAGTGGATGACAAAAGAAGTTAAGATTATAACGATAAGGAGGGTAGATAAACGATTGACGCTTGACTTGAAGAGGTTCAGATTGTTTCTACTCTAATGATAAGTACGCCATTTATTTTTCGTTTGGCATAACAACCGCGCCCAAACAATGAATAAGAAAAGCATTAACAAAAGATAGGGTCATGTTATGGGGACGCTTTACTGATACCAAAGATCCTAGATCAAAAAAGGAAAAAAAAGAGGTTAAGTTGGTTGATTTTTCTTTTTTATATATAAATCCTTCACAAGTTTATCGGAAATTTCAACTTGATTGAAAATTGATGAGATATTTTTCAGTGGTTATCTTTTATGTTTACGTGCTGAGATATGAAGGAAGAAATAGATAGATAGATAGATAGATAGATAGATAGATAGATAGATAGATAGATTATATAAGACTGGGATAGATAGATAGATAGATAGATAGATAGATAGATAGATAGATAGATAGGAGCAGAATCAGATAGATAGATAGATAGATAGATAGATAGATAGATAGATAGATAGATAGATAGATACATAGATAGATTTAGAAAGACTGAGATAGATAGATAGATAGATAGATAGATAGATAGATAGATAGATAAGAGAAGAATCAGATAGATAGATAGATAGATAGATAGATAGATAGATAGATAGATAGATTTAGAAAGACTGAGATAGATAGATAGATAGATAGATAGATTTAGAAAGACTGAGATAGATAGATAGATAGATAGATAGATAGATAGATAGATAGATAGATAGCTAAAGAAAGACAGAGATAGATAGATAGATAGATAGATAGATAGATAGATAGATAGATAGATAGATAAGTGCGAAATAAAATCAGTGTTTCTTATATTGTACTTTGTTGTAGCCGTCTTTTGTGGTTCCAAGAAGAATTTACTTGAATATTTCATAAACATCTACTTCTACGATTGATAATTTTTGTATAGGATTAATATATTTCAGGATTTGGTGTAATTCCATTAATTACTGGTTTTGAAACCTTTTTGGTAAAGTGACCATAGTCATCATTGTAGAATGTCAAGATACTTTATTTTGCATGAATATATGCTTTTGACCTGTGCACCATAACTTTTTTCTCGTGTAACTTACAATAATTCACTGCATTTTCTTTGACATCATTACCATCAATTTTAAAGGCTGTTATAATTTTACTGGGTACTTTTAGGTAATTATTTCAGAGAATGATCGAACCTCTTCTTCCACTACTGGTCCATTCAAATATATCTCCTCATTCCAATTCAAAACCAACCTGAATAGATTAGTGTTCTGTCAGGCTATCAACAAACCGCCGTTTTTATGGCTGCAATGAATGTAGTGCCTCTACGGCACACGCACTGGACACTCACCTGTTAACATTTTATCATAGTGTAGGGATACAAAGGGCGATTATCCCTCTTTGTTTGAGCTAAGTCAAATGGGTCACCTGATAGCCGCTTAGTGACATCACTCCATACAGTGACGAAAGTGACAAGCAAATTCAGTTTGTTTTCAGCAGCTGAACAATAAGTTTGCTTCCTTTAGCCCGATGGCTAAATCCGCCTCCCCAACAGTTTACAAGTCCATGGTGCTGTTTCCGTTTGGGAATATATATTTCCCAGATACGATAGTAATGATATGATAAATTATCGGTTACTAGGTAAAACATTACGCATAACGGATATGCAAACAAGAAACCTGTGATGAACAAAAATTCTTAGGTGTGTGCCAAAGTTCGCAGCACTTCTCGCTCGAAATATACAAAAAATAAATATAGATATTTTTATCCGTTAGAAACCTTTGCCAATACCTAATAAATTGTGTCAAAGATAATGATCAGACTAACACATTCACACCAACGCCGCTAACACAGTGTGTTACATTATATAGACTATTTACAGGGAAATATTAGTTAAACACGCATGTATTTATTTAACAGGTAGTGTCAGAAATTCCCTGCACTATACATACAATTCAGCTCGTTCATCGGCATCCAGCCAACTGAGTTTGTCTGCCAATAGGTTTCAGGCGATCTCGTTGTATCCAATTAATACTTGAGCTATTATAATATTGTGCTGGAACGGCCCCGCGTTTCTTACGATGACTCGATAAAATGTTCGCATCAAGTATTGGATAAAGCATGACAGAACTACTACCAAGACCCTGAATATAATTCGTCAAATTTTTGACGAGAGTTCTTTTGGAGTTTTTAGCAACACGCGCTTTTCAAGTCTGAACTAAGTTCAAGATGATGAGAACCAAGGGTGAGAAAATACTAACAAAACGCAAGACCATATGAAAGAAATCCTTGAGATAATCCATAATGACCAAAGGCAATCCGTCAGCTTTTCGATATAAAAGAAATCAGTTATCGAATCTGAGTGGCGACCCACCCGGAATATATGAACATACATAGCGAGTGAACTTGTCAATATCTCCTTGTATATTGATTTCTTAATATCTATCTACTTTCGCATTAATTCCCTTAAAAAAAAAGTGTGAGTTCAACCCTTTTCCCCATGTATGGGTTAAATAGCAAAGAAGATTGGGTTCTCTGGCATTGGGTGGCAATCAATCTTAGAGAGGGAAATTTTAAAAAAAGACCAATTTTAAGGAAAATGGAATTAAACAAGCGATACCGACGCCCGAAAGAGCACTGGGATAGCGAAATATGCCTTCCAAAAGCTAAGCAATGTATTATGAAACAGTAATATTTCAGAAGAATTAAAGCAAAGAGTAAGT